AACGTTACGCTAATATGAATTACATATTGTGTAACATTTCGTTCGATCATCCAATCAAATCAATGCCCGCTATGCTCATCAAGAGTTATTATTGTATTTTTACAGTTTACTAATAATTCTTGCAACATTTCTTTATGCAATTTTTATTTCTTTAACTTCTAAATTGAAATCCAACATGCGCATTTTTAAATTTTGCATAGGTGCCTTTAATAGACTCTGTTTGAAATTATTAAAGAATAAACAAAAAATCATATCGGTATTCATCAATCTTTTAATCACCGGAATAAATCAATACATTCTTTATTATTTTGAAATCCCAAGCTCGTATATAAAAATATACTTTTATTTTCTTTTTTATTTTCTTCTAAATATCAATAGTAAATTAGCCATTTATTTAGGTTTGATTTTTTTATAGACATTATTAGAAATAATTTGAATAATTTAAATGATTTAACCTTTATTTACAAATGGGTATTTTCTCCCCTTTATGCAGAGTTGGTTATGCATCTATGTATCGTATGTTTAGTAAATTTCAAATTTATTATACATTTTGGTTTCAAATTATTTGTTTGTTTTGAACAAGAAATTTATTATTTTGGTTTCTTTTTTGTGTTTGCTATTATTATGACCTTTACAATTTGTGTAATGCCTTATTTAGAACATCTTATAGTTCTTTTGTTCGGATATTATGCACATAATTACATTTGGGTGTCTATAAGTAAATTTAATGGTGCAAAAATTCTTATTCTGGGTCTTTTAATATTTCTTATTTTCAAATTTGTTGATTTTGCTGTTGATTTTGCTTCATCAATATATCAATACCTTTTATTTCCTATTTTTCTTAGAATCCCTTTTTTTATGCTAAAAACTTATATTATTAGTAACTTGAAGCATATTATGATTAAAGAATGTAAAAAATTTGATTGAATGGATGAATATCATACCATATTATTGTCTTTAACTACGTTGAACTTAGCCTTCATGGAACGTCTGGTGAAGATATTGTCCCTACGGCACACCATTATGTACCTTGTAGATAAAGCTATTGAAATTAATTTAGCTACTGAAAATAAGTACGAAAAATTCTTTGATTTCAGTTCGTTTTTTGCATCAGAATTGTATGGTCCAAGGTTGCATGAATTAGACATAATGGTAAATATGCGGAGTTATATAGGGAATAGACATGACATGAGACAAGACATGAATAGAATTATGACGATGAGGGATGAGATGGATTGTCATAGTTTAAGATATCAAAATTCTTTGGCTTGGGAGAATAGTAATATATTAAAAGATCCAAATGGAATATGTACACAATGCCACGAATACAACGATTCTCGAGTCTGGTGTTCAAGATGTGATCCTGAATTGCTCACTCAAGGATGGTCAAGTGGAAATAATGATGTTGATAATTGCATAAAAAAGTTTCAACTTCAAACTTCAACATACAAAGATGCAATAGGATGGATTCCATTCGATAAGCTTAGTGATATAAAAATGATTGGCGAAGGAGGATGTAGTAAAGTGTTTTTAGTATCCTGGTCAGATGGTATACGAATAGTCCGTGGAACACTTGGAAATTATGTGAGAACACGTATACCATCATGGAGGGTGGCACTTAAGACTTTGCATTTTGATACTTCAAAATGCTTAAAAGAATTTGAAATGCACATGGAATGTAGAATAAAGGGTATTGGGCTTATGGTGTATGGATTGACACGAAATGAAAAAACAAATGAATATTTAATGGTATATCAATATGCCAATAAGGGAAGCCTTCGTGAATATTTAAAATCCAACTTTAGAGAATTTAATTGGCAAAGTAAATTAGAGCAACTTATATATATAACACGTGATGTATCTCAAATTCATAACGCTGGGATTATTCATGGTGATTTAAATAGTAACAATATTTTGTTACGTCAAGATAACTACCCTGGTAAAAAATTGTATTCTTATATTGCAGATCTAGGAATATCTAGAAGAATAAACGAACAAAGTTCAAAAGTCGTTCATGGTACTGAACGCTACACTGCTCCTGAAGGTTTTAGAAATAAGAAACTTACACAGGCTGTTGATATTTATGCATTGGGTCTTATTATAACAGAAATGTCAACAGGAAGAATACCTTTTTATGATAGGGATGATATTACATCTAGTTTCATACTAGACATTTTGGATGGATTGAGACCGGAATTTGCACCGGGAACTCCTGATTGTTATGTTGAACTTGCTAAAATATGCATGGATTCAGATCCACAAAGTCGACCTAATGCTGAAAATGTTACTTTAGAATTATATCGATGGTATCAAATTATGACAAAGCATACATATGCTGTTGAAGAGCTTGACATAAAAAATAAATTCTTACGTTCTGATGAAATAAACAGAGGATCAACAGTTAATTCGTCTAATTTATTAGCACCTAAAATTCCTATGCATGATATTCATGATTTATCGATTCCAGACGATTTGGACTTGATGTGTGTCATTGATTGCCATCAAAAAAGAATGACTCCATCACTAGGGATGGTCAGTCCTGGAAAGACTGAATAGGGTTCGATCTTTTTAACTGGTCTTATGGTAGGTGTAATTTTTTTTTGTCTGTACCTGGTAACCTGATCTTAATACTAGTTATTTTTATTTTAAAAAAAAAAAAAAACATAAAAATAATAAAGAATTTAAAAATTTTTTATGCATGTAAAATGATACTACGGTCTAGAATTGGCGGATGACTCAAAAACCATGAGATTCAACGCCATTGTATGTATTTAGAAAGGCTTTTTTTATATGGACCGCCAAATAAAATTTATAAAAGCCTGACCCATATTTGCTATATATTTAACATCCTTTAATTTTAGATGGCCTGTGCAGGCCTCTAATGAATAAAGGTCTTCAACTATTGAATAAAGTTCGAAATCAAAGTGTTTTATATATAAAAACTTGGTCATTTTTAAAATAAAGTTATTCTTTAATACAATTATATTATAATTACTTTTTTATTATTTATATAATAAATTATGTAAGCATTCTACAATTCAATTGTTTTAATAAACAAGACATTGCGTTCTCCTTCAACATCTATTTTATGAACATATACGAATTCAAACTCTTCGAATTTTATGGCAATTTCTTTTATTTGCGAATATCATTTAAAATTCGATCCTCACATTTCCGTTTTTTGCTTCATTTACACGGCCTGTACACTAAAAAGATGATTTATTATTAATTTGAATGCAATATTTGATTTCAACAAGATGAACAACATTTTGTAAGATGTGTATGTTCCACTTCAGAAAATATTCAAAGAAATAAAAAATTTGTTATTAATATTAAGTGCTAGTTCACGAGTGAGCGACAGTAGCATTATAGTAGCATCATAGTAAAATTTGGTGAAAATTTAATATAAATATTTATAATAATATGAAATCTATAGTTGTTACAAAGTAAGTTTTTTTTTTTTTACTAAGTCAACCTTCTTTTCACTTCTAATAAAAGTTGTAGAGCTAGCTTTTGTGAATCTAATTATAGCAAGATTGTTAAATTTAACTTGATAATTTTTAAAATATCCTAACTTTCCCCTCAAGTTTTAAATAAATATACAAGAAAAAAGTTAAAATATTTTAATATCTACCAAACTAATTTTAACGACCTTACTATTATTGGATTCACAAAAACTAGCTCTGCGACTTTATTAGAAATAGAAAGAATGTTAACTTAGTAAAAACAATAATTTTACTGTACAGCAGCTGTAGATTTCATATTACTATAAAAATTTATATTAAATTTTCACAAATTTTACTATGATATTACTGTCGCTCACTCGCGAACAAGTATTTAATATATTATTAATCATATGTCGCCATTATTGCATTAATCCTTAATCAAATAAATTTATGATCCGTATATATATAAATGATTTTGGTAGTGTGTCCCTTTGATACCAGTAATTGGCTTTATGTAAATAAACTTGAATAAAATGATCATGAATTTTAGTAAATTAAATAGCAAATAATGCATTTATAACTTAACTCATTATGCTAAATATTTAATAAATTTCTTTATACTTTCAATTTCAAATAAAATTAAATAGCAAATATTCGTGGTTACATTTGTTTTATTATTTCATTATCGTTATTTAAATCAAAATTTTCATCCAATAGGAAAACATTTACTGTATTACACTGACATTATTGCGTCGGTTAAGTGGCTGTGTTCGCAACGGCAAATAATAAAATTAAAAAAACCGATTATCAAATTACTTCGTTATTGTTCTTTCGCTAGTATCTTTGATGATCAGTGATTATCTATTCATTATATCGGCAGAAAATCCGAAGAAAATAAACAAAAAGTGTGAAAAAAACTCAAAAAGTAAAAACAAACCTAAATCGGGAAGACATATAAGTGCAAAAAGAATGCTTTTTTTTACTAGAATTTAACCATTTTGATCGATTCTAAATCTTTTTTTTTCCCTCCACCATACATAGTATCATGTACAAATCGTATACGAATCGTATCGGTATTCGAATCGAAGTATCTTTAGATACATATAAAAATGGCGGGTGCTAAAATTTCCGTTTATGGATTAAAAGGAAGTCTCGATCGCAGCAAAGCACAAATAAACAAACAATCAACCGGGCAAAATCAAGTAAAAACCAAGTAAGAAATGCACGTAAAATTGTAGATGGCTAATGATCTACATTCTTGTTAATTAACTTTCCTATATGTAAAAAGGATTGTATAATATATACGTATAATTGTATAATATTTGATTTAAATGTGCGAAAAATGGCTTAAAAAATGCCATTCTGTCTATTTAACACGAATATAATATGTACAATTTTACACAATCCTTTTATAGGGTTGTTCGAAGCAGAGCTATAATGCCTGTGTTAACAAATTTTGAATTTTGTATTTGTAACAGATCATTATTTTAATTTTTTTAGAAACGGGTTTGCAGACCACCTATACTGTATATGCAATTTTTAGTTACAATAATGTTAATACTTTCGTTTAGGTTCAATTTAATTATATCGATTTAGCAATTTAATATTTTCTAAAATTGTTCTACACGATTTACAAACTAAGTCAGTTGATGAAATCATAAGCAAAACTCTATATTATAACAAAATTAATGAAGAGATTTCAAGATTAGGTGTAATGCTAAATCTAATCAAAAATTTTGATATAATGTAAGAATTGGCATATATTATTATAAATATCATTGTCTACGTTCCTGATTTTAGTGCGATAGCATCGCACATCTACCTCACATGTAAAAATATACACTGATCATTGCCAAAATCAATAACTTAACCGGACCAGCCAAAAAACCATTCGGCAAATTTTTATCAGGTGTTTCATGAATTAAAATATTGCAAACTAGTATATTTGAACTCAATCTAGTTTGCAAGCTTCGGACCGAACCCAAACCGAACTTATAATTGAGTTTGAGTTTGGTTTGAAAGTAAAATTTAGAGTTTGAGTCCGGTTCAATCCCAGACCGGATCGGACTGAACCAGGCCCAAACCGGACCTAGGAGCATTAGATTTTAGTATTAAAACTTGAAAATTTTGAAATTGTTTTTGTTTAAAATGGTTATCAATATGAAAGCATTATTAATTTGTATTAATAATATTAAGATGGATGGTACTGAAAATTGTTGATTTAACAAGTTAGGTTTCAACTCAAGTAATTTTTGTAGGTCTTTATATTTTAATTAAATTTTAATTTTTTTAGATTATTATTTGACAGATATATTGTATATCGATAAAAATCAGTATAAATAAATACATTGATTTAAAAGTAATTAGTTGAAGAATAAAGTAATCAGCTAGGCACAAATTCTTTTTAGTTTTGCATGATAATATCACATAGCTATCTAATTAAAGTAAAAGTATTTAATTAACCTTACTCAGATATATTAGATAAAATATTATATCCAGATATATCTGTTAATTAGTAAGTAACCTACTTGATATATCTGTCAGATAATTGGATAGCATCTTTCAATCAGGATCATTACTAAACTGGACTTACTTCTAACAAATATTTTAAATTCTAATTGTCTACTTTCAAATACCACTTGTTATTAATTTTAATAATTAATCTAATTCAATTTTTACTTATTTTACTTGTTTTATAGTTAAAAAATACTGCTTTGAGATTAACTTTACTACCAATAGTAATATAACTTTTGGCAATAATAGGATATCATTTTTTAGCCAAC